AATTACCAAACCAAAGTCTTAAACACCCAGGGTCAGACTTGTCCATGACGATCATAGTGTGCACAGCAGGTACACACAGTACTGTCCTCAGATGACCATGGCAAATGAATCACTATGAGCAAGATGGGCAGGCCAGAACATCAGACCCATCCCTTTTTTGTAGTAATACCAGATATTGCCACTACTGCAGGATTAACCTCAAATACTCTGCACACTGAGGAGCGATTATGAACCTGAATATGTTAAAGGCTCTGAGGCCTTCATCTGGAACTGAGAGTCAATCTGACCACAGCTGTTTCTGTCCAGCTGGCAGAGGAAAAAAAATGCTGCTATGTGTTAACGGGGCTGGACAGTTCTGAGCTGTTCTGACTGAAGTAAACACAGTTTAGCTTCTGTGCTGAATGGTGTTACCCTTTGCGACGGACAAAACAATTAAATACTACTCCACTAGGAGGTAGCAAATAGTGATAAAAACTGAAAAATGACAAAAGAAGATTCTTGCATATCAGGGTAATGTTTATAACTTAACAGGCCAGAGATCAATACTGACTCTGTGTACTGTGAGTCATTTGAAACCTGAAGATTATTGTTAATCTTATAATATAACTATTAGTGATGTTTTTACTTCTCGCAAATTTTAAATTAATTTGGTTATATTTTTTTATTTCTTGTATGTAGAGGACAAAGACTAATTACCAGAATTTATCACTTGCTCGTCTTGAGAAGGCTGCAGGATTACATTGGTATTAAAAGACTTATAGACCAGGGCATTCAAACCTATTTATATTGTAATGTAATGCAATGGAATAAGCTTTAAATTCTGTTATAATATTTATTAATAATCATAATATTTTTTGCGGATTACACATTTTAAAAAATCACAAACTTTTTGCCAATTAAGAAAAAAAGAGACAGCATCTGTTGTTTTGTATTTTCCATTTGAAGCAAGTATCCAAAAATCCCACAGTTGATTTATCTGATCGTTCTGAAGTGTGACAGTAAAAAAAGGGAAGCACAAAGGAAACCACCCTCCATATACATCACATATCACTTCAAGACAACCGCACCCTTTTTGTTCTTAGGTTTTATGTCCTGTATAAACTGAAGAAAAGAAGCAGTTTGGACTTCATGATGTGATCTCACTAGCCTCAGGTTGTAGCCTGTGTCCCACACTTTCACTCCATTGATGGTTCTTTAGCTCTGGATCAGAATGAATCATTGATCAAACACCAGCTGCTGTTTCACAGCTTGAACCCTAAGCTCATTCCCAGGACATGATAGAGACACCTGTTGATGAAACTGAAGAACTGCAGCCACTTCAAGTGAGGACGAGCTGTTGGGTTAGAGCATCAAACAGCACACAATACATGACATAGTAAAAAAGACATGGTAGATAAGAAAAAAGAAAGGTGATAGTATGTGAAAAGGGAAGTAGATTTTTCCCTTGTAGTTTGTTTATGTTTTAAAAAAATCATGTTTTATTCAAACGTCTTGTTTTTTGTAAGGAGTAAAGAAAATCCTAGTGCTATCTGGTTAAGGAAGGGTTAAGTTTCTTAATGTGACATCTCTGGGATGCATTCTCATGTCCAAGGACCCGTGAATCCCTGCCGTGATAAGCTGTCAGGAGCATTGCTCTGTGTGTGTGTTTGTGGCTGTGTGTGTGTTGGTGTGTGAGAGATGCATATATGTATGTATTTGGGATTTGCACAGAGAGCAGATAGCTTCAAGGTCATTTGCCGTTAAAGAACAGGACAGCATAAATTCCAGCTAATAACTCATAATAATGACTCCCCTGTTTGTTAGTTGCTTGTTTATCCCACATTCATTAGCATGCCAACATGTCTTTTTGGTGGAAGGAGTGCTGGGGTGGGGTGGGGGGTGTATTAGAGGGCATATGGAAATGATTAGAACCTGCTGAAGTGGAAGTATCTCAGATCCATGAAAACCCTGGCGTACACAGCCTTCCTGAATGGCAGGAATTAGAAGAGGAGATTAGTGACTAAGTCTTTTGTGGAGGTGTACAGTATGTGTGTTCTCCTCCCTATCTCTTCTTTCTTGAACCCTCCTGGCTTTGTTTCAGTCTCCTTGACTGTCATTTCCATGTTAGTGATATGAGATTCTTGTGCTGCCCTTGAGTCAGAAGCCTTGACTGTTTTTTTTAAGTCTTGAAGCCAAAAGTGATCACTGTGGTTTTATCTTACTGCTTTAACATGACCTGCAGCTCTCTCCCTAAAGGAGCATTAGGTAACTTACTAAAGCATAAAGAACATGCAGAATGCATAAATACTTATTACTACAATACTATACTATTTTGCCTGACATGTATACAGATATTCACAATCATTTGAAAGTTTATATAAGCACACACACACACATACATATATATGTACGTGTATATATTTGCCTTTATTATTTCACCATCGGTAACTATTGTTTTGTGAATTGTGGTCTCATGCAACTAAAGTGCACTAAATTCTGAGCTGAGTTGTTTTTTTATTATTTCAAAAAACAACAAATTCAACAGGAGCTGACTGAGGAATTTGTTAACAGATTAGTATCTTATACCTAAACTGTATCTCCATAAGCAAAACATCCAATACTTCTTGGGGTCCTCACACACTACAGTCATTGCCTTGTCACTGCAGGTCCTGTGTGAACAGGACGTTATCTACTGAGTTTAAAATCCTGTGATGACTCCTAGTTGGAGGAGCATCCTAACCCATGTGGTAAGGATTTGTTTTTAAATGTGCTGACTGTTAAACTTGTTTTTAATTCATCATTTGGTGGCAATTATTGTTAATCACTAATGAATAATCCGGCTGTCGTCTTGTGCCTATATGTGTCGAGTCATTTTAATTGAACTGGGTTAGGGTGCACACTGTTGCACTGTACCTCAGGATGTGTCACATTTCTCATTTGCTCTCCTTCTGTTGTTCTGTCAACCAGCGGGATCCTGGCAGGTCAACAGCCTCCAACCTGGAGGCAACAACAACCTCTGTCCCTAAAAAAAGAAGCTCTAACTACGTAACAAAGCATAACAAGCAAAGTGATGGTAAAAAAATAATGTAATTACACCTAGAATCTACCATCTCACATTCAAGAAGGTCTACATGGCAAATTTTCTCCTTTAGCCCTAATAAGGCAGCCATTTATAGGTTAGGAAAATAATGTCTGGATACAGGTCAAAAGCTGACTTCTTTACCAGCATTTCCTCTGTGAACATTAAAGGACAGAGTCAACAACCAGGTCAACCTGAAGGACTGTGAGAAAATCTTCACAGTGCGAACACAGAGGCTTTAAACTTTCTGATCCTACTCTGTGTATTCCTGACCTCAGTCCTTTGTAGAATAGCTGTAAATGGACAAAGAATGTACATTTTACGTAGGTAAAGGGAGCGTAAACTACTAATAAACTGTTTAACAAAAACACCTAAAGAAAATGGTAATATTATGTCATTTTCTGTAATCCCATGACTGTTTTCTTTTTTTGAAAGACTACAAGTTTAGAGCCATGATGTATGGTTTAGAGACAGTAGCAATAGGCAGAAGACAGGAGGCGGAGCTGGAGGTGGCAGAGTTAAAGATGCTAAGATTCTCTTTAAGAGGCAGGATCAGGAATGAGGTCATTAGAGGGACAACAGAGACAGGAAGGTTTAGAGAAAAACTTAGAGAAGCCAGATTGAGATGGCTTGGACATGTGCAGAGGGACAGTGGATACATTGGTAGAAGAATGTTAGAGATGGAGCTACCAGGTAGGAGACAAAGAGGAAGGCCAAAGAGGAGATATATGGATGCAGTGAGGGAGGACGTGCAGATAGTTGGAGTCACAGTAGAAGATGCAGAGAACAGGGCAATATGGAAATCAATGATTCGCTGTGGCAACCCCTGAAAAAAGGGACAAGATGATAAGAAAAAGAAGCAGAGGACAAGAAAAAGCTGTAAAATGAACAGATAAAATTCTGACTAAAACAGTTTTAATGACTTAAATAAATGAAAGATTCTTCACAGGTTTTTTACTCCTCACCTGGATATTTCTCTGTCCACACAAACATGTCTCAGCAAGAAACATATACAACAATAGATCAGATATGTAGCTTAGAGTTAGTGTTGGAAAATTTGAATGAGTTACTTAGGTTTTTATTTTACTCTCTGAACAATGGATAAAGAATTATCCTATTATTTCTTTTACTTTTATTCATTGCTTATTTTAATTTAATGTATTTCATGTATGTTGCTGTCTTCTATGACTTTGCTCCAGTCTGTAACAACCCTAACCACCCAAACCTTTGTTGAAGGTTTCTAAGCCCCGTGATAACACAATATTGGAATAAGTTCATCAAGCAAATAAAAAGATCTTATCTAAAATTAAATTTCAGCACAAGTAACCACCAAGCCCTGCAGTTAAATCCAGTAAAGTTGACGATGCCTGGCAAATTTTGACAAAGAAAGGCAGCAGTGATCTAACAATCTGATCACGGCAGCTTTTACACCACTCTGTTGAGCATGTAAGAATGTTTTATGCCATGTAACTCATTTTTGTTTTCTTGCTCTCCTTGAATGCCACTCCTGGCGGTGCATGACCTTTGAAGTGTGATGTGATGCACAGCATGGCCCCGACCTGCACTGCTTTACCGAGGTCTTCTTCCACAGTTCTTTTTTCTTTCTTGTCAGTGTGTGTTTTTCAAGAGAATTAAAACACACCTAAACCTGACAGTCTGCCGACCAGAGACACCGAATTTAAGTCAGCACTACTGGTCAGCAGGCGCTGCAGGGAGTGTGTGTCCGCAAGTGTCTGTACATTTGTGTGTGTGTTTGTGTGACATGGGTCACAGTGGCAGGTTGAAGAAGCAGGTTGAAAAAACTGTGTAAATGGGGTCAGGGTCACTGTCAACAGGGGGGAGATTGTGGAGGTGTTTGTGGCAACAGGCTTTCCCCTTAACCATCTGCTGTAAATGGGACCTCTGGCTTATTATGGTCAATTTTAGGTAACGGGTGGTGACGTGTGACTACACAACTGTTTTTACAGCAAAGTGATTGTGTTTAAATTGTGGCATAAAGATTGTCCTTTTCTTTTTGTGGGTGGCAAATTAACCTTGACTGTTCACAGAAATCTTTTATAAACGGGTTTATATACATTGCATTTGTACAGTATAGTTTACGGTAATGAGAAAATTATGATGAAATTTAGGAAAAACAAACACATGAAGGTGTTTCTCACCATTGAACTTCTTACAAAATGTATCCTGATAGGAGGCAACACTCGGAAGAGAGCTTTGATGAAGGGCAGATGGATGGATGATGGATAGAGAGATGGATGGATGGATGGATGGATGGCAGTCCCAGAAATGGTTAGTGTGCTTGCCTTCCAGAATGTGGAGCTCTGATTGGCTGTTTCAATGTCCAGTCATACTTCATGGAATTTGCATCCTGTCTAATCTTGGGTTTTTGGGGTACTCTTGTTCTCAAAAACATGCATGAAATAATGTAGGTTTTTTGCAGTTGAGGTCCTTTTACTAGTTTTTGGCTGCTAGCAGCCATCCTGATATCAATGTGATTCAAATAGAAAAATTTAAACCCCCAGGGAATGGAATTGGGCTGGGGCAATAAATAAATGCTGTTGCAAAGGTTAATTAGACACAAATTGTCACTGACAGTGTGTTATACTATATCAAATGTTAGGAGGAGGCAGGGGTAATCAGTTCACCTCCTGAGGGCTGTTACTAAGCACCTGAAAAGAAAATATGCATGGCTAGCACACTAACTGAATATATACAGTATTTGTACCTTCAAATTATGTGATATGAGAATTTGGCAGTGATGAATAGGGGGGTTGATTCTCAGTTGTGTGTAGGAGAAGTTAATAAAGTGGCCACACTGTGGTCACTGGGGCTGAAGCAGATAAGGAGGGAAGTAGATGACTTATGGTCCAGAGGAAAATATGTTTAGGCTGATTGGAATTTTTCTACGTTCTAGAGCAGGTTCAGTTTTCACATCAAAACACAAATAGTTAATGGTATCACAGAGCCTCGACTTTCAAATGTTTCTGTTGGACCTCCTGAGGCTGGTTCTTCGTATCCCATACTCCCTACAAGTAACTTTGTTGGGGAATTTTTTTTTTATCAGAGTTTGATCCAAATCTTTAACTTTGTAGACTTCTTTTTATAGTAAAACTGTTTCTGAGATAACAGATAGAGGCGGAGCAGAGTGAAGTTGACCATGAAGTTATTCCTAGTTCCCTATTTTCTTCTCCTACTTGTTCTTCTAAATACGTCTTCTAAAAACGTTTTCTAACCTAGGAAAAATGAAACAGTAAAAATATACAAAAAATAAACTAAAAGACATCCCTGGTAGCTTTGTGTAGAGGAGGTCCAGAGGAGATCGCTGATTGGCTCATGGATCGGAGCGTCTCTCACTGTCTCCCCTGGTCAATTTGCTCTGCGCCGTTATACGTATAGTACTTTGCTGTAAAGTTTGTGTTTGGTGAGGGTTGACCCTAATTTAACGCCCAACGATGCCTCCTAAACGCCCTGATCATCTTCTCAGGCTTCTGTTACGAAGCCCGAACGAAGTCGATTACTCGAATTGCGCTCACCTGCGTCCAGGGCTGCACCTGCGTCGCCACTCCCGTGCTCTCAGTCCTGCAGCTGAGCGCTTACCTCCGCCCTGCTGTGTATTTAATTTATTTACGTAATATTTATGTTTTATATTTCTATTTTACAACTCTTCTGTGCATATAATTGTGCGTGAAAGGGTAATACAGTCTAGGGAGGGTTGATGACAGTGTGGGGGAGGTTCGTAAAGGGTAAATATGTACGTAAATAATTTAAATATTTTCGCCTCTACTTGTACACATATTCTTTTTAAAAAATATATTCCTTACATCACTTAACCCACATGTGTACCCTTAACGTGGCCGACTCTCTGAGCCTTCTTCACAGGAACACAGTCGAAGTGTTTGTGTCCTTGTGAAGTGATTAACACACAGAGATGAGTGACAGCGTGACCTGGCCCACAGCACTTTTAAACAGCAGACTGTTTCTATCATCTCCACCCACTGAACGTCACATCACTGCAGTCTCACTCCGCTGTCAAACACCATTCCCTATCTCTGTGGCTCACTTTGCTGCTTCTTACGGACTGACAGTTCGCATGTACTGCAGACACTGAAGGCAGCACGAAGTCCAGTTTATCAGGGAGTTTACAGGTGAGGCGAATTGCCCGTGTTTGTTTGTTACAATAGAGTTTTTAAAGTTTCATTTCTGATTTTAATTTACATTCGTTGATTTATTTTTATTTTTTTAACATTCTACAGTGTGTGAGCCGGTGTCACCCATGGCTCCCTGGGCGGTCTGGCTCCTCCTGGCTGTGTCCAGTGTCCTGGCCGTGCGCTCCTGCTGCGCCTATACCTGTCCAACCATCTGCCGCTGCAGCGAACACTCCTTCCAGTGTAGCAGAGACACTCAGCTGCTCTCCAGGGCAAGAGCCGTGTCCGTGTCCCGACTGTGAGTAACCAAGTCAGCAGTGACAGTAATTCTTAACTATGCTCTACATGCTGCTCAGTAATGAACTCGTCTGTGCCCTTGTGCTGCTACTTCAGGGACTGTTTTTTTAACTAAGTGAACTTATTTTGTCTGTCTCGTCAAAGAGTTTACTTTTATTGTTTTGTAGTTCGAGGTTACAGTGTAAGCAAAAGTTGCATATGTTGTTAATTTATCTTTATTGATTTTGTAGAGTTTAATTTCAGTATTCTATGTATTTTTTTAATGCAACAGAAGGCTCACCCATCTGCCCTTGAAAGATGTGCCCACTCATGCCTTCAAGGAGCTGATTAACATCACATTTATGTAAGTAGTCGCTATTTTACTTATATAGTTTTACAAATCGTGGAGCTTAAGTTAAGATGTGATATGTATTTTGTCTAAAATTAAAAAAACAAAGGTGGTTCTAACTTTTGAAGTTTTAAATAAATATATAACATAATGTTTCCTGTGAAAAATAAATAAAATTATAGGCATGAAAAAATGTTTGTTAAAAATATGTTGTTAAAAAAACATACGTACTGGTGAAAAAACTGCAAATGCATTGAATCTGCTAATATTTTATTAAACATACCACCTATAAATACAACTTTTTTTGGTAATGCTAAAATATTTTGTGGGCAAATTACCTGTGAACAAACAGAACATTGTTAAAAGAAAAAAAAGGTTGCGCTGACATCAGTGTTGGATTATTTAAACATTTAAACAATGTTCATTTGTGTAAAAATGTTGATATTATTTACTATAATTTGTAGATATTTTTTAAAAATACATATTTCTGAAAACACTGAATACTCAGCTTACTAACCAGTTACACAACAACATAATGACATCTTAACTGAAAATCTGATATTTTTTAATTAAAAAAATTGTCATCAGCCTTCTTTTTATACTTTTGTAATTGAATTGGTATGTTGAATGTAACTGTTTACAGTTTTACACCAACTGTTATTTTAAAAATCAAATCTACTGTACCAGGTGACTGGGAATTAACTAAAATTAATTTGTTGATTGTCTTTTGATTATGTAACTGTAGGCTTTAGATGAAACTACTGCATCGTTTTAGTGGTTCAAATGTTTATGCAGATAATTCTCTGAATTATTTGCCGGTAAAATGTATTTTCTTGTCGTCAGACCCCTGCTCTACAGGTATATGTACCCCCATTAGAGAACCACTGACCTAGAACATTTACAGTTTTCCCAGATGATATTGGCTACTATTTGCAGTATTTGTTATAGTATTATCTAGTTGGGATGAATCTGGTTCATTTTTAGGATTTTATGCTCTTAAGAATAATTTCTGTTTTAAGTCTATTGGAGACATAATATCTGCAGGTCAGAGATTATAATTTGGAAATCATAAACATAAATATTTCAATGACATGACCCAATGCATTGATAACGATAACATACGGCGCACTGAATGTGTCTATCTTAGAAAGTGTTTTTTCAGGACTTGACTCTTAAACATAACTGCTCTTCGTTGTAACCTCAGAGAAAAGATTTTTATTATAGCGTCATGAATGTCATTATAGTCGCAGACTTTATTCCCTGTTCTCAGCCTTCAGGTACTTGTCTCAGTGAGTCATGAATGTTGATGGAGATGCCATCTGGAATCTACATAGAGATGAAAAATCTATTTTCACTGCTGTCCTGTTTTTTCAAAGTATGTTGTTTTGAAGCAAGAAGCTGCCTAATAATGTACCAGAGTGAAACAGTGAAGGACGCCTACGTGAAAACCACACAGGCTTTAAAGTGAAATCAATACATGAGACATTCAGCTCTGGGTCTCAATAGTTTTTCACCTACGAAAAGGCATTATACAACTCAAAATAAGTTTTTTTTTCTGGGGAAGAAAATACCACTTATCATTTGTTTTGTTTTTTTGCTAAGCTAAATATTTGACCATAAAGTGACGTACAAAACCTCCTCGATTTAAGCTCGCCCTCATCTTTATTGCGTTTGCAGCTACGCTCACTTCTAAAGTCATAAACATCAGCCTTAAAGGTTTTTAGTGATTGCTAAATATATCTCTTCAGTCTGAAGAGCAGGTATTAGATATGTTAGCTAGTAAAAAATCCTTTGAGCTGAGCATCTCTGCTCCTCGGGGACTCATCTTACCAAATGCTAGGGAATTTTCAGGTGAGAGATTCAAAACAAGTCAAATTTAGTTTCTTCGTAATAGAAGTTTAAGTTGCTGCAGTAAATATAACCATAAAAACGTGTGCTGGGGCAAAAGCAGATCTGCACGTTGTTTTTCATCCATAAGAAAAAGCATCTCATGAGTTGTCAGCTGTAATTTTGTCTGGAGTAATAGCCCAATCAAAGGAGGGGACAGAAGAAAGAATATATGAGCAGGAAGCTGCATTTAATTGCATCCCGGCCTAAAATGGGAGCACGATGACATTAACAACAAAATGTCGGTTGATTACAGCAGAGTGAAGTGGTGATTACAGAAAAATGGAGAGCGGCTCAGAAAAGAGAAAACAGTCGTCAGAAAACAAAGTGTTCAAGGACGAGTCAAGAATTCTTTTTAACTTAGTTTGACTCTGCGCGTCTTTGTTTAGTCCTCATTTTAAAACATCTTCACTTCGTCTTCCTGGCCCAGATGCATCTGTGATGTATGTTTGGAGATTGAAATGCCTTGCATGTGTGTGTGTGTGTTTTCGTGCACATGGCACAAGCACAGGTGTGTGTGTGCATTTGTGCATGCTGTCCTAGAAGTATCAACTGTTGACGGTGGTATTTTCATTTTCTCCCTAATGGTTTTGTAAGACTTTATCAATCAGCTGTGTCCTAATTCTCTAAGAAAGACCATTAAAAGTAAGCATCTGTAACAAGTACACTGTTGATCGGTTGATTTGTCCCAGTAAAGTCTTTGCTGCCTGGATATGGGTGATAGAGATTTATGTGTAAATTATTTGTTGACTGATGAGGATTTTACTTTCTTGTCACAGTGAGATTTCCCAGAGTGACTGCATCACACAGATCCAGAGACGAGCCTTCTTCTCCCTCCACAGTTTAACGGAAATGTAGGCAACACTCTTTAACAACTACCACCACCACCACCACCACTACCACCCGCCACACGTTGTGTACAAACACAGAAAGCAATTATCAATCTGAGCAGCTGTGCGTTGGTTTTTGCATTTCATTTCGTTTTCACAGGATTAGTCTGCTAATTACAAGGCACCGTATTTAATCCTTGACATTCAGTATAGCTGATGAAGGCACAGTTTTGTTTGTGGAGTGCAACTGACAACAGTTTTAATCACTGACTTTTTCTTTTCTCCCCCCCCCCATTTCTCTTGCCATTAGTTCAGTGAGGAACATCAACAGTCTGAGGGTTATTGAAAAGGGTGCATTCACTGACCTGCCCAGTCTGCAGCATCTGTAAGTGCTCTGGTTAAAGACATGAAAGCAACCTGTTACTATTAGTGTAACAGCAGTGATATAAAATATATTTTACAACAGTGTAAATAGGACTTCCTTTATGTTCATATTCAAAAAACATAATATCTAAAATTTTAGTCTTATTATTATATCTAAGAAGATTATGTCTGCTCACCTGGTTGTGTGAACTGACAGTATTCCTGAGGACCTGCCAAGGACTTTGTCTATGTGGACCTCATTATCATCATATCAGTTTGGAATCACCTGAATGGTGAATAAGTTAGGACTAAAACACAGACTAAGACTAGTGGGAGAATGTACTTCAAGTGCAGTACCTGGAATTAATTGTATGACTGTCTTCCCTAGAAGTCTCTGTGTGGTCTGAAAAATAAGAAAAAAGTCACAATAAACATATTTTTTTAAATCTTCCTAAAAATTCTAAAGGTTCTTACTTGGTATTCAGACAATTTCCATGTGAACTTACTTAAAGTAAGAAAAAAAAGAAGGGGAAAAAACAAGACTTATTCTGGTCTGTCTCTGCTGCTGGTCTTCACAGGAGCATCTCTAATACAGGGATTATTAAATTCCCAGACTTCAGCGGCATCTCCTCCCTGGCACCAAGTATTTTTCTGTAAGTACTATACAAGTACATTATAAAGCCTGTTTATAACCTAAAGTCACTTTTGAATTCAATTTAGTCATAATTCATCTAACTGCTATTTGTCTTTGTATTCACATAATTTTGTCTAACTGATTATTCAGCCAAACCTGAGTGAACTGTGAACCTTGTCTTCTCTGTCTTCAGGGAAATGGCAGACAACATGAGGATTGACTTCATCCCAGCCAACTCTTTCCTGGGTATCACAAAGGCGGAGGTTGAGATGTAAGAACAGGAGCCAAAATTATGTTTGTTACAAAATTATCAGAGCGAGGGAAAGAATCTGTCACCATCAATTCAGAATGTTTTCCCCCCCTTTTTTTATATGTCTTTTCAGATGCTTATGTAATTGAATGTTCCGTTCTTTGACCTTGGTGATAAATAAACTAAAACCAGGAACATTTTGTCCTTGGCAGGACCCTGGTTAGAAACGGCTTCAAGGAGATACATTCACATGCATTCAACGGGACCAAACTCAACACATTGTAAGCACTTTTTAATTATCAAGATTTTTTTGCCTTATCTGTTGCCAAGACTTGAACAACACCAACAGGAATGGTGGTGACGGGCATGTGTTGCTGTGTCCACTGCTCAGGTGTCAGGACTTCCAGGTTGTACTATAAAACCAGGTGCAACAGTAAATAAACACGTGAGACTGAACACAGATTGGGTGCCCTGTTTTCACCCCATGCCTTGATTGTTCATCAGCAACAGATACTGTCCACCAGTGAATGGACACTCTGCTGTCTTAAAAGAATGATTGTCTTCATTCTGTTTTGCATTTGTGAAAACGTGCAAACTTTTGCAGGATGACACCATTTTTATGATTTTATAAATTAAAAAAACAACATTATATGGCAGAAGTCATATGTTCTGTTCTGTGTTCATCTTTCGTAGAATTTTGAGAGACAACATTTATCTCAAATCCATTCAGGATGATGCTTTTGAAGGAGCCACCGGACCAAGCGCAATGTAAGTCACTGATTTTAACTAATTAACTAAGGACAGTATTGGACACTTTTTGTTGCTGAAAATGCAACATTGCAAAGCAAAAGATTTGTATTTATTTTGTTAGGTAATTAGCAGTATTAGCATTAGTCATTCAAAAAGTCAAAAGTAAAAATTAGGTAAAGGGCTTATTTTATAAAACTAGGATATAGGGTCATTTTCTCAGATGTCATGATGTGTGTATTTAATGGAGGATCACATGATGTACTGAAGAAAAGTGGACATTATAGTGGCAAACCTGACTTTGGTTCAACCTCACTGGATCATTGTAATCATACAGATGTTTTTTGTTTTTTTTACATAAATAAAACAACCTGGTAACAAAAAGAATTTACAGCAATAAAAACAAACGCGACAAACTAATAATTTTTAACATTTAAACATACGTAATTGCTGTGAAGTCAACGACACATATATGTTGTTTCTGCTGCCCCCAAGTGGCCAGAGGAGTTTTGTCAATAAGTGACGAAGCGACCAAAAAAAGACATTTATCGCAAACTTGGCGTTTAAAGAAAAATGACAACAGCAGTATTTAAATTATTTAAAAAATGAAAATTGAATACTATTGGAGGTTAAAAGAATAGGAAGAGAAAATCCCACATTTCCTACAGTATCTCTGGACCCTCGTTAAATCAGCAGCAGTGTGCTGATCACATTTGAACTGGGTCAGTGAAGCGAGAATATTCATAACAAGGTTTATCATTTTATTCTATAAACATTAGGGCAGTGAAAGCCTGTCTGTGTAAACAAGCAACAATGCGGCAAGGACTGCTGAATACTGATAAGGGAGGAGACTGAGGAGCATGCTGCTGCTCACAAGGTCTCTGATTGCCAGCTCGCCCATTTCTGGAGATAGGAAATGTCCCATTTTCTGTGGTTGGTTTTTGAGTCGGTGTTTGTGGAATTCTCAGACATGTAGGAATTGTCTTTCCCTCTGTTTGTGTGGTGTTCAGATATTGGTCATAAATGTTCTCTGATCTGCACGTCTTCATTAAGGGATGTCTCCTCCACGGCTCTGAGTTCTCTCCCTCCTAAAGGGCTGCAGCAGCTCAGGTACCTGAAAGCCATCTCCACCTTTGCCCTGAAGAGTCTCCCCCGACCCGACAGCCTGGCTGAACTGCTGGAGGCCGAGCTAACGTATCCCAGTCACTGCTGCGCCTTCCACACTTGGCGCCGCAAGGAAAGGTAACCCACATTTTTCCTCTGGGATTTTAAAAGTACAAGTGTGCAAGAGTGAGAACTATATTTGTTAATACAAAAAATGTACAGTTAATAATAAATAAAGTAATAAAATAAATTAATGACAGACTAACATGTGCACTTACCATAAGGACAGCATAGCCCTACTGCACGACCTTAATACGCTGGGGTGTGGCATTAAATGACCGTACGATAAATTAAGATTAGTATTGGTCTTGTTAAGAAATACTCATTCAGTTGTATTCAGTATAAAAAACTGTTTGGCTCTCACTGAAATACGTTTTAAAATAACTTTTTTGACCCTCTGCTAAAAAGGTTCCCAACCCCTGGTTTAGATCGAACCACGGCAGTGGTCACTGATTAAAAATGTTGGTTAACAACAGTAATCTAAACTATATGCACATATATAAAAACACCAGTAAGAATGTTATAATGAAGTCCTGCAATTGTAAATGGAAATGTAATTAGATCTATTATGTTTTAGACAGTTGAATCATTAATGTGAGCTTAGAGTAAAAGGTCTCAAGTCTGTTAGATCAATGGAGACCATTTCCTTTGTAGCTAACATATTATATTAAGTCAAACCTTTTTCTTTCGTCTTCTCAGGGAAAGTGCTTTAAAGAACTTCACCACATTCTGTGATCTCAGCGACAAAGAAATGTGAGTTACATCATCAATAGGAGCTTTCAACAAAAGAAAGTTTATATGAATTTTAAAAAGATTAACCAACAAATGTCTCTATGTCTTGATCTTAAAACTCTCCTTTGAAAAGCATCAAATTTAATATTTTATCTTTTCAAATCCAAGTTAATTGGTCTCTTCCTGTTCTGGAATGAAGGGAAAACTACCCCCCCACGCCCCCTCTTCCCTCTGTCTCCTCTCCTTAATTTTTAAACAGTGTATTCAAGTTTTCCTTGATCAATGGTTCTGAGATATTTGTCCTAATTGCCATATCTGTCTCATCCTTCAGGAAGCCCAGTGCAGAAGACATGAGTTTTATTGACGACATCAACTTCCAGTATCCAGACCTGGAGTTCGACTGCCTCAACAGCCCCTTCATTAAGTGTACCCCAAAGCCAGATGCCTTCAACCCATGTGAGGACCTGCTGGGTTTTCCTGTGCTGCGCTGTCTTACCTGGATTATCTCTTTGTTTGCTGTGTCAGGTAACCTGGCTGTTCTGGTCATTCTGCTAATTAGCCACCACAAGCTAACGATTTCCAGATTTCTCATGTGTAACCTGGCTTTGGCTGACCTGTTCATGGGGCTCTACCTGTTGCTCATCGCCTTTATGGACCACTACTCCCGCCACGAGTACTACAACCACGCCACGGACTGGCAGACCGGGCCCGGCTGTGGCATAGCTGGGTTCCTCACTGTGTTTGCTAGCGAGCTCTCGGTGTACACACTGACTGTGATCAGTGTGGAACGCTGGCACACCATCACAAACGCCATGCACGTCAACAAGCGGCTGCGTATGCGCCACGTGACCATCATTATGGCGGTAGGCTGGGTTTTCTCTCTGCTGGTGGCCCTGCTCCCCTTAGTGGGGGTCAGCAGCTACGGCAAAGTGAGCATCTGTGTACCCATGGACATCGACCAAGTGGGATCCCAGGTGTACGTGGTGGCCGTGCTCATTCTCAACGTGGTGGCCTTCTTCATAGTCTGCTACTGTTACATATGCATATACGTGAGCGTCCACAACCCCGAGCACTCCACCCGTAACGGAGACACCAAGATCGCCAAGCGCATGGCTGTGCTCATTTTTACCGACTTCATATGCATGGCGCCAATCTCTTTCTTTGCCATCTCTGCAGCCCTGCACCTGCCCCTCATAACTGTGTCTCACTCCAAGATCCTGCTCATCCTCTTTTACCCCATCAACTCCCTCTGCAACCCTTTTCTCTACACCATCTTCACACGAGCGTTCAGGAAGGACGTGTGCCTGCTGCTGAGCCGCTGCGCCTGCTGCCACGCCAGCTCTGACTTCTACAGGTCACAGACGCTGGCCTCGAACCACAACAGCAACCAAAAGACCACCACGTCCACCAGGAACAATCACTCGCTCAGCATATATGCCTATCACATTAAAATGAAAGGGTGCTTCATGAACAAAGGAACTACATGATGATCAACAAAGACCCTTCATTTAATCCTGTTAGGAACTTAAAGGCAGCACCCTCCCTGTCATTGAAAACTGTTACTTTCTTCAGTTGTGAACTGTGAGACATTTGTCAGTCTTTGACTGAAGAGACACCAGATCAGTTTTGATCCACTATACATTGATGTATAAAAGGTGGAATTTATCACTGAGGACCAGGAGGGGTCATACAGAGCTGCTGCAGCCTGTATGCCCACTAAGAATATGGGACAAAAAGAGAAGTTTGATGGAGGACGTAGCTGAAGAAGGCTGTCACTGATAAGGTGCCTAAAAGTGGATTAAGTGAGAACAATTCCAATGTTAAGGGTCAATTCAAATCAAAGGGTTGATTGAAATATTGGCCTGGCAATGTTCAAGGTTACTACTTCAGTTCTAACTGGTGGTGGGGAGTACAGCCATACTCTCTGTACTCCCCTCCACCAGTTAGAACTGAAGAAGCCTCTTGGATGAGAGGTGAAACGTCTTCTTTTAGACAATTCACGTCCAGTTGCCTAACAGAACTTTTCAACCTTGACCATGACCTGGATGACTGAGAATCTTCATAGACATTGTTACTACATGTTTTCTGTCAGACAATCTCTTTTTGCTATCATTTCTTTAGGTACTGGACATCTGGAGGCAATAAAACAGCCACATATACTGTACGTTAAAGTGATTCAATCTATTAGATTATTTGAAATAACTTTTTTCCCCAAAAGAACCATGGTGTTTATTGCCAGCTGTAGTAGTATCTTAAATATTATAAAGTATATTATAATTTTGAAGTATTCATTTTGTATTTCTTTTAGAAAATGTATTTTAAAAATTTAAATATTTTAAATCTTTCTGATGAGTATTGAAGCTCATCCACAGTGGGTTTTACTGTGGGTTGTTACAACTACACGTTAATGGGAAAATAAGAATCATACTTAAAACATTCTGAATTTTCACAATAAAACCATATCAAATTAAAACGCTTGAATTGCTACTTTTTGTTCTTTTGTCTTTATCTATTTTTTGCAGTCATAATAAATGACCAGCACTGACTTAAAAAAAAAAAAACAAATACACAAAAATAGAATAGCCATGTATATATATATATTTGGTTTGTTATTAAAGACAAAATTAACAGCAGTATGTTTCCTATAAGGAACATTGTCATAACAGACAACAATAAACTTAAATTCATATACTATTTTTCACTATTAAAGAAAACTGTTGTACAACATAAATTTCTGCCTTTTTACAGTCACCAGCTGAAACCTTAGAATAACTTAGTCTTCTGGTTAGGGGACACGTCTGACTAGGGTTCTGCACAGTGGTGTTTTAAACTTTTTAACAACAAGATCTTAAAATTCAAGTGCTTTTCACCAACTGTTTTTCCACATGACTATCAGAGCAGTGCTGATGAACAGAAGCTCATTACCATTCAGCTTCTCCAACAGCTTTGGAGAACACGTAGTCCCTGCCAGCATAAGACATCACTCCATCTTTCAGATGAAACTTCCAGCGGTTCTTGCTGCGGTGAATCTGAAATGAAAAGAACATACTTCAGCAGCCGGCGACAACACCAGTAAAAACACACCGCTGAGGAGCTGTGATGTTCCTACCTTGTCGTACTGACAAACGATGACGTTGTCAGTGTCGAACAGATCGGGGATGTCCTGCTCAATCACATCGTCACCTGAGTTCAAGGGATCCTCATGAAACAGAGTGTGAAGCAAAAGAAACTGAGCCACCACACGGATTTGAACATTGAACAGACAAGACAACACCATTTCTGTCTCTCACCTCTTCCACTGCATCAGCCAGTTGATCTGCTTCCTCGCCATCGCTGCCAGAGGAGATGCTGTCGCTGCTTCCTCCCCCATCCTGCAGCGCCTTCAGGGCCTCTGCATTGATTATGCCCAAGAAGTCGTTCTCATCTAGTGGAGCTTCATCTTCCTCCTCACCATCAGAGTTGTCGAGCGGACCATCCAGCTGCACGATATCTGACAGTTCGCTGTAGCTGTAGCCCCCGTCCAGCTGCAGGTATTGAAAGTTAAAAAAAAAAATTAATCACAATTCCATTTTTTTTAAATTACACTTATTATATAGATTGATATAGATATATAGACTGTATTTATTACAAATAAATATAGTGATGACAGCATCAGGTCATGATCAGGTCTGGTTCAGGTTCTAGTGAGATGTGTTGACACACAAACCACAGATACACATACAAGTTATTTAGACTCATAAAGCATATGATTTAAAGGGAACATATTATGACAATTTAATGCAAATTATTATGGTTCCTCAATGTCTATGTCAGTAACTGTTCTAGTCATCATGGAATCATTGATCACAGCTGAATTCTTCACACACCAGTTTAACAGACCTTTTACTGAAAGACCAGTTTCTGTGCCTTTACCTATAAATGGTAATGAGCCACTGCATGCTCCGCCCACCACATTCACAGTAGAGAAGACAAGAGGGCAGCTTCACATAACCATAGCAACAGTCACTCATGTTTGTTCATCTGTAGACTAACAAATACTGTACTGACCATCTCCCCTGGTTTCTTACAGATGATGAACCACAGTTTCAGCCTCAAGTGCTTGTGTTCACTTAACACTGAAGTCGAGGTCGCAAGCATCAGCGAGCTTGCTGTGGCGTACACATAAAGTGAAAGGCGGTTTTCATATTTTGGTAGGGGGCGGTAGTTTGGAGCCAGACTGAATGAAATTGGAATGGCTTGTTTTAAAACAGATTTCCAAAATCTGACAGATTATAAAACATCTGCTTGGTTGCCTTAGCTGGTACCTAATGAGTACAAAAATACACCAGAGACACAGATGTGTGTAAGAAATCCCTGGCACAGTCAGTTATATATATAACATCCATAATTATGCAGTGCATAATTTTAATTTATTCCGTGATTAAAGTTGGAATTCTAGACTTCTGTCAATTCTTTCTACACTGCGCTTCTCGACAATAACAGCAGTTCCCTCCTTAGAAATCAAGTCGTCCATCACTCACCCGTTGAGCTTTCTCCCTTTCCTCCTCTATTGCCCTTTTCAGGATGTCGTCAATGTCTCTGGTCTTTAACTGGTCCGTCTGTGTCAGTGTCCCTTCGGTGCTGCTGAGCTGGATGTCTACATTACTGCCAGTGCTACTGGAGTTCACAGGTTCACTCTGGTCACTTGGCTCGCTCTCTCCCTGTGTGACCTCAGAGTGTGGAGACTCGGCCTCTTGAAGATGGGAGGTGTCAGCAGGAGCAGGTGCTGGAGGCTCCTGGAGGACGTTGATCTCCTTAGTGGTGGGTAAGTCAGGCAGAGCAGCTTGCTTGACACAGGAAGACGAGGCAGGAAATGGCTCCACCTGCTGCGGATGAAGGGTATTTGGAGGAATGGCAGCTGATTTAGGGGCAGGGGGATTCCTGGAGGGGTGCTGACCCGCTGGGGCCTGAGTTACCACAACAGGAACATTGACCTTGTAGAATTGACCTAGGACAGAGGAGTGTTGTGTTATTTCTTCATGCTAACCCATGTGGGTTTAAAAGAGGAAACTAATGCACATTGCAAGGAAAGTCATTTCATACCAGAGGCTGTTTGTAGAGTGACCCCTGCTGGTATCTGCACAGGGTAAGTTAATCCAGGAGGAAGGGAAAAAGTAGCCAGGGTTTCTGCACTGTACTGTAATGGAATAATATGTGATTTTATATACACTATATATATATAGATAGATAGATAGATATAATGTAAAGGAAAAAAAGTCTGTGACACATTAGCTGTGATTGCATTGGGAAGAATTGACACAAAAATGACACAAGTCACACTATCAAATGACTTGATCATTCAATAACAATTCTGTCCCCAACTGAAATTCTAGAACTTACCTTCACTGGGAAGCTGTGGTTTGAAGGGATCACAACAGAAGCTAAGAGCAGAAATCAGAGGAGAATGAACCATTACCAAATAGAAGTTGTTACTTAATTATTTATTTACATATTTTTGGTCTTTTAAATGCCTCAAACGTTTTATAATTCAGAGCATTTCACTTTTTAAATTTTTTTTTAAACACGTTTTTAAATACACTTTAGAAATTTAGAAACCTGTGAGTTCTGGTTCTGGGCCGGTCTGTTTGTAGTTGTCAGAAAGCTGCAGCAAAACGTCAGACGAGTTGATGTTGTTCTTCCTGAAGTCCTCCATTGCTTTAGACTGCATCATCTTTGACTCCCAAAGCTGCAGCGCAGGAGACAGAGGACTCAGCCTTCCTTTCCAGCACACACTTCCTCACTAGACCAGCACACTTCACTTTTGTTTTGACACACTCAGCAAAGTTCTGCTGTGCTCTGTTTTTTGTTTTTTTTGTTTCCAAAGAATGGGGCAGCAATTTAAACTTACATGTCTTAAATCATCCAAGACACGGTCTTCAAACCCTTCCTCTACGAAGAGCTCCCTCATGCTCTCAATCACATCATCAATGACAGACAAGTAGAGTTTGGCCTGCAGTGGATTACAGAGAGATCAATTCATTCAACCAATTAAACCATGTGTGTTTTCAGAACGTGGCTTAAACAGTACATTCTTAAAATAGGTATTTATGCTTCACTTCATAAACAAAGTAGACTAAAACTCTAATCTCCTTCCCACAAAACACAGAATCAAACAAAAAATACAAATTAGTTTCTTTTAGTAAGTTTAAAATAAATGAAGTGTAAATATCAATAAAATGACTGTACATAACATGAGGTAGAAAAGGACACTTAGTTTAACTGACTGAAAAGTCAGAAGCACTCACCACCTGGCCTGTGCTTGATAGCATGATCCAAGACGTGTTTACTGAGGAAAACCGCCAAATTCATCAGAGTCAACACTGGATCAAACAAAAACAAAAAAAATCTTTACAATTTGAATTAATGTGCAGTTGATTTACACATTTAGTTAAGCAGTGAATTTGTATTTTATTTCCTACCAGATCATTGTGATGATCACACACACACACACACACACACACACAGGTGACAGTAATCAAACTCTCTAGGGCTGGGCCAGAGGCATTCAAATGCTCAAATGTAGGGTTGGAAAAAGTAATTCTGTCAAAGAAACAGCGACAACTTCTGCAGGGCAACAGTACTTTTTATTCACCAACGCTAATTTAAATAGATTTGACTGAATTGTTGGTATGATTTTTACTGCACTATTTATTTTTTGGTAGACACAAGATATTTTTCTGTGGCATTATATAAGAGGTAGTGATATCAGTGATATTCTTTTTATCATTTACAATTGCTTACACAAACATGTGGCATTATCTATTTTTTTTAAGAATATAGAATAGAAAAATATGTAATTAGATTACCCAGGGATTTTGGATCAATGTTCAGAAAAACAAAATTAATTTACCATGTATTCAGTGTCAACAGTATGGTCGTAAATGACGTCATTCTTCTATGTCTGTTTTCACTGATAAGCATGTTATCCGGTAAACACTTATAAAAGAGTGTAACAGAAAAAAATGCAGACTAATGGCAGCATCTCAGCAGATGATCCAACCTCCATTCATTTCTAGTGGCCCATTTAAAAAGACACTGAGCATTCTCTTCAAGGGAAAAAAAGCTGTTATTTCTTCTTTCTTCCCCTTTCTATTTTCTGCAGCTGTGTTTCCTGCTACATAAAATACTGTTGTATTAAATTATACAGCTTTTGACAACAAGCTCAGAGCAAAGGGCGCTGTTAGGTGTTGTTCCAGTCTGCTACATACATGCTGATCTTACATAAAGCCATGATTCTCCAGGGCCCTCTCTCAGCAGGCCTCAGCCGCCTTTGCCAACCTTTGCATAAAACACACACAATAATGTTATCCTATACACAGCTGCTGCAATTCATCTCAGGCGTTAATCTTAGTGCTGTGTATTCTGGAAAACTAAGCCATCAAAATCAGTCCTGAAAGAAATCATCCCACTCTTGATCCTTTATGTATTTTTTACCCACACATATTTTACTTTGGCAAAAAAAATGTTCTTCTGATTCCCATGAGGCTACAGTTCTGGAAGTTAAAAATACCTCAGCCTATTACAAAAACAACCTAGTCTAGTATTGATTCTGCAGCAGCTGTGACCCCTGCCTCCTCAATCACAGAAAGAATTCTTCTCCTTTTTCTGAATCCTCAGATGACGAGAGAGAGGACAAAGGAAAAGGAGCTGTAACAGATGCATCACACAATCCTGACTCTGAAGACACTGAAATAACCAAAACCTTTGTCGTTTTGGTCAGATGTTAAAAAATTATGATCAAATTTTACAGATTTTGTCAGCAAAATCCTAATATCCATGGATATTTAAAGTCAGATGTTGAATAATTGTGATGCAATCATTTTGGTGATTCAAATCCTAATTTAGCATGTCATTGTGGCGCTCACAAACTGTGGTTTGGTAGTGAGGTAGTCGATGGTCCATGCAGTTTTGACTCCTGCCCCTTCAAACTTTATCCTGAGAAGTGATGGCTGGATTGAAGGATCAGTAAAGTCTTATCTTTTCTTATCTTATCTTATCTTTGTCAAATGGTTTTTCAAAACATGCTGCCATGTGAATAATTTGTGCTAAAACTGCAAAAAATATTTTATCTGAATAATTCAAAATCTCATCAAAAACATGCAAGACCATAGCCTTACTATCATGAAAAAATTCAAAAAAATAAAAAGTCCCAGAAATGCCTTTAAATACAAGTTTATGCCATAAAACATGCTGGCAAGTGAATATTTTGTGTTTTAAACTCAAAAAAGTATTTTATATGAATATTTCTTAAAAGAAAAAAATTTCACGAGTTTTAAACACAAAATATTCACTT